TGGGGCCAGCCAAGACCCCAGTCTTGAGCCTCTTCTTTGCTTGGGGGAGACAGCCTGAGGACAACGGGGAGCAGGGGCGACACAGTTCCTGCCCCTCCCCCTCCCCCTGCCTATCTGAAAGCCGCTCTGCCCACCAAGCCCCGGCTCTCTGTGTCCTGAGGTAGAGTGAGGGCGGCCACAGCCCGTGTGACGGGCAGAGCTGCCAGCCGTGTCCCCGCTGGGAGGTGGGGTCCCTGGGGGGGATGCTAGGACTAGGTCTGTTTTCTCCCTGATTCTCTGCCTGCTCCCCCCGTGGTGGTCGCCTCATCAGGCCCCAAGGCTACAGGCCAGGCACCAGGACCCCACGCGCCTCTCCTGCTTAGAAGCTGCCATCAGGGACTGAGTCACTGCGAGGGAGAGCTGGCGGGCAGCCTGAGGTCACGGCCTTGCACACGGGCAGCTGACACACCCCCTTGTCCTGCCACACACCCTGGGGCATGCTCACACCTGTCCTTCTGTCCTCCCTCCTGTCTATCACAACACGCCTCACACCACCTGGTCCTAAAACCTCCAGCAGCCAGACTCGAACCAGCACCTCGTAGGAGACTAGCACATTCCCTGCACTGGGTCAGGCCAGCGCGCGTCCTCCGGGCCGGCTCGGGTCCCTGGGACGCAGGCTGATGTCTCCTGTGCCCCAGAAGATGCTCCTGGCATTTTGGCTCCAGGTCACAGTGTCTTTCGGGGCAGGGCCACGGCCAGGCCTGTGAGTGGCCGGAACTGACGGCTCAGCTCATCCCACAGCAGCCCTGAAGCAGCCACTGGCACTGTTTACTGCTCTCAGCTGAGCACACGCCCTGCTTCCCGCGCCAGGCTGCTCCATCCCAGCGAAGTGCTTCAAATGCTCACACCAGGTACAACTGCGGCACGGCCGCTCCTGCTGCTCCGCAGCCTTTCCACGCCACCTGGGGCCGCCCAGGCTGCGTGCGGCACATGGAAGCTCACAGGCAGTGAGGAGGGGGCTCCCCTGTGCCCCCAGACATTGCACACAACGCCGATACGCATGTACATGTGCCACATGTAGACACATACCCGTGCTGTGCACACATACGCACACATACACGCTACACACAGAGCACACAGCAGGCCCTCCTGAGTGCCAGTGTTTGGAGGAAGGCTTCCTAGGACCCCGAACTCTCCTTCCACTTCCCTCCTCACTCCATCTACAACCTACCTACAACCTGAAGGTTCCCCCTTCCTCTCTCTGGCTAGTCATACACACGCGCGCTGCTGTCCTGTGAGCTGCTGGGTCGGGATGAGGCTGACCCCAAGGCAGTCACCCACGTGGCAGTCTGTGTTCGAGGAGGGCCCTGGCCTGAGCCCCTCCTGGGCTCCGGGGGTGAATCTCAGTGCACACGGGGCCCGTGACGCCGATTTTACTGCACTGAACCTAAGAGCAGTCAGCCATGGACTGCGTCTGCGCCTCTTTGTCCAGATGTCCTGGGCGTGGGGGCTGGGGATTTAGCTCAGCGGCAAAGCGCCTGCCTGGCAAGTGCAAGGTCGTGAGTTCGGTTCCCGGTACCGGAGAAAAACCAGATGTCCTGGGCGTGACATTTGCGTGCAGTGACACACAGACGTCCTTGCCCACTGGCTAAGGAGAGGGTGGAGAGCTGCCTGGAGAGAGGCCGGGAGCACGCGCAACATCACAGCAGATGCCGAGGGTGGCGTAAACCCTGGGCTCCCTGGGGCCAGGCCACTTGGGGAGTGGGGACAGGGAGCTTGCTCCTGAGTGCTCCTAGGGGCCTCGGCTGGACCAGAGCTCACACCCAGTGTGGGCAGCAGCACACCAAGCGTCCCCAGCCTGCTTCCCCACACGCAGCTAGAGGCCAGCAAACACAAGACCCGTATGCAGCCCAACATGCACACAGGGAAAAAAGGAATTCCTCAACATCAGAAATGAGTCAGGGCCTGAAAACCCAGGCAGTTGGGTGATAGGAGCCGGGCAGGGAATGGCGGGGCTACCGGACCCTGACACAGCAGGCAGGAGAAGGGCCGAGGGGGGAAAAGGATTTGGTGGGGAGGCATAGAAGCCCCCCTCAGGAGCTGGAGGCCACAAACAATCACTTCTGCGCCACCCACAGGTGGGCACAGTGACCTGGCCCATCTCACACACAGTGCCTGCGCCTGCATTAAGAGCAGCGGCACCTGAGCAAAGCCTATAAACTGAGGCCTCTGACAAACCAATGCAGGAGTCTCTCAGGAGGATGTGTGAGCAGGTCCCCTGGGACGGCCACAAAGAGGCACGCCCACAAAACCCACCATGCGGGAGTGGGGGCGGCAGACCTGAGACAGGATCCGCCACACCGGGGTCACCTGTGACGACACACAGGCCAAAGACTTACAAGTAACAACAAGAGCCCGGGGGCGTAGGGGGGCGGGTGGCGGCGGGTGGCGGCATAGATTCTGTAATTCTAGAGAAGAAATGCAGACTTAATGGACGCATAAAACAATAACTGACTTCTTTACAAGAAAAGAGAACCAGTCGCTGGGCTAAAGACGGCAGAAGTTATCCAGGATGGAGCACAGAGAGATGAAAAGACGTTTTTTAAAAGCAAAAAGGAGACAGTCAGTGACGCAGAGGACGGGCTGGGATTGTGGGCTCAGGAGGCCCAGAGGAAGACCAAAGGAGCCTCACAGAACCAGAGGCCCCGGCAGGGCGGGGCGGAACACAGGAGGCCCGCCCAGCTGGAGGCCGGAGGGCCCGCAGCGGCACCGTCAACACACTCTAGAGGGCAGATTTTCAGGTTTAGACGTACAAGGGGAGACTGACAGTGAACACTGCACACACGGTAGCCAATCTAAATATACTGGGCCACAACTACACCCCACCGCGGAGCGTGAAGACACAGGAGAACAGACTGCCAGCAAACACGGCACTACACTGACAGCAGCTCTACAGCAAAACGATCCCCCGGATATGCGATGTTACCTGCGGAGTTAGAACCCTGCGCCCGACTCAGGACCTCTCAAGACTGAGTACAGAACGAAAGCACGTTCAGACATGCCACTCAGCGAACCAATCGTTCAGGGCTATGAAAAGCAAACTGGCAAACCTGCAAATCAGTCTCAGGAAGCAGAACTATATGCAGCCCCCAGACTGCATGCAGGTCTGGGGGTCCCACCCTAGCTCCATCGCAGGAGCCATCACGGGAACGAACCTCTGCCTAGAGCCCGCCGGCTCTGCAGTGCCTCCCCTGCCCTGGCCTCGCTTTCCACGTCACGAGAGCCGTGGCCATTTCTTCCTCCATGCTGGGCTCCATACAAACACACCGCAGTGTAAGCCGAAGAATCCTTGCTCCTTACAGAACACACATGGTCGGCCTCGGTACCCGTGCATTGCCCATTCGCGGATTCAACCACCAGAGGATCCAAAATCTTCTATCTGTTCACAACACATACAGCCCTCTTTCCTTGTCTCGACTCTAAGCAAGGCAGTACAACACCTGTGTATGTGACATTCACACCGGGCCAGGCACGATAAGCCATCTGCAGGTGACTTCAGGTCCCCAGGTGGACGTGGGTAGTTACCTGCAGACATTAGGCCACTCAATGTAAGGGTTAGGTATCTCCAGGTATCGTGAAACCAGTCTTCCAAGGATACCAAGGGATGACTCTGTGTGTGTGTGTGTGTGTGTGTACTTACATGTTGGTATAAAAGCATGTATCATATTTATAAAACATACTTTGAACCTGTTTTCTGTACCCACAAGGTCAGGTGCAAACTGGAAATCCTGAGAAGGGAAACAGTTACAACCCTGTGAACCAAAGTCAGACCCAAAGCAAAGGAGGAAATAAAAGCACCAAGAACTTTAAGTGCAAGGTGAAAGATTCACAATTTAGAGCACCGATTCCCCACCATGGGGCAAAAAGGTGCAGGAGAAGGGACCAGGGTTACCCAGACGAAGCCGCAGGCAACCTCAGCAGGTGTGGTCACCACAGCTCCAGGTTCTCATCCTGCGTTGGTCCCAGCACCAGGGCTGCGCAGAGACCCTGACAGAACAAACCCATCCAGTCCCAGAGCTCACTTTCCTGGGGCACCAGCGACAAAGGGGACGGATGGAAGCAAGGGCAGGAGGCAGACGGCCCGGCCCAGGGCTCTGCACCTGTGACCTGGGTCCTGCTCCCTGTGAGCTGGAACAGACACCTGGGGACGGGCCTGGGCCCGAGGTGCCGGGTGTCACCTGGGCAAAGGACCAGGTGGGCCAGGCCGGCTATCCCCAAATGGATTGCCGCATGAGGCCCTCAGCAAGTAACATGCAGCGGGAACCTAGGCCTTAAAGCCCTCGCTGTCAATTCCATTCCATCAATATGCAGGATGTTTTCCAACGAAATGCTCTGTTTTAATCTTATAATGGAAATCAGCAACACACCAGGATTTACAGAGCTGTATGCAAATGAAAAGAATATACACATGCAATTTCTTAATGACTTTGCTAGATTACTCTGTAAAGTTAAGAAATGACCCATATTTAAATCATGTTGGCTGAATAACAGATACAGGTAGCACGCATTAGAGTTTTAATGGACAATGAAAATGCACTTTCCAGCTCAGTGAAAAAGAAGATTCAGGAAAAAAACTACTGCTTAGCTCTGTATTCCAGTACTAACAGACCCATCTGGGCCCTTTGAAGGAATCAGCGGCCAGCTCACCTGAGTAGGAATTCTAAAAAGCAGATTCAGGGCAGGGCTTAACAGCCTTTTCTGTAAACACCAGACAGGAAGTGTTTTGGGAACAGTGCCTCTGTTCCATAGTCTCGCAGGGGGGCAGGTAGATTTGTAGGGATTTGCTTGTTTACAATGCTAGAAAAAACATATAAAAACTACTCTTTCCTGCTCCTGGCCCAGACACACAAACCCTCGGTGATTTCTCAGCTTCGTTTTCCTCCAGCTCAGGTAAGGGACACGTGGTGCCCAAGCTCCTGACAGCGAGCCGGGCGGGGGGCAAGGTCCGTGCCGCGCCTTACCTCCTTCAGCCGCTCGAGCTCATTCTGCAGAGCCTGCCTGGACACCTCCACCTCGATCATCTGCTGTCGCAGCGTTTCATTTTCATCTTCGGCTCTTGCCCGCTTCCCCTCCACGGTCTCCAGCTCGTGGTGCAGCCGGACAGACACATCTTTGGCCACCTGTGTGGGTCACACAGGTTAATCATGAGGGTACGAAGCGCGAGATGCTACGGGAGGCAGGACCATGGAGAGGTAAGCTTCTACACCATACTGTGGAGACCTGGCCGCAGCCGGCAGACCTGCACCAAACAGATGCAGGGATCACCGGCTGAGCGCCTCTGACCTGCATATCCAACATCTTACCCACTCTGAAACGTGAGCCACATCTGGTCTCAGGCATGCCCAATGGGCTCACTCTGCAGTTAAAAACACGAAATGAACCTTAGGAGGAGACAAAACAGCAGCTGAACCAGGATTAAAAGGCCGCTTTGGCTTTCTTATGACAGGGTCTCACTCTACAGTTCAGGGTACCTTCAACTTGCTATGTAGCCCAGGCTGGCTTCAAACTCATGGCAATTGTCCTGCCTCAGCCTCCTGAGTTCTGGGATTGTGGGGGTGTGCCACCACACCTGGTTTTTTTTCTTTTTTTTGAGACAGAGTTTTGCTGCATAGTAAAAGCCCATTTTGGACAGTCTTGTCTCCACACAGCACATAACCGAGAATGACAATTCCACCTGAGCAAAAAGCAGCAGACAAATCAACATCTCTGTTCCCTGGGGTAGCAGCAAACCTGCCTGCTAAAACAGCAAACGAAATACTCCTATATGCAGATGTTCCATGCAGATGTTCCACGTTACCAGTTCTAAGCTGTCTGCCAAGGGTTCAGTATGGTTAGAATGTTGCAATGGTCAAAGCACTTAGAGGTTTGCACTTTCTAAAGGCACACGGGAAAAGACTCTGTAAGGGAAACGGAAATCTCCCTTTATGACACTGAGTAACGCTTTGCCAGGGGTTGATAACTTTGTCGGAATCGCAAAGATCCAGTGCCTGCTCTGGTGAAAGCTGGATGGGGTTCCACGAAGGCTCCCATAATAAGGACATCATGCATAATTCACTGCCCGATGTGGGTTTGAAAATCGGGTCATGACGAAGCTTTGCTGCCTCTATAGGAAGCGAAGCCGTGAAGTCCAGGTTCCTTCGTGGCCCCTTCCCTGCAGCCGCTCCAGACCCCTGCACGGGTAACTCCGATCCTGCTCCTCCTTCAGCAGAAGCACCCATGTGCAGCCTCACTTGGGCTATGGGACCCTCAGCTTTTCTGCATCCTAGCACCCTAAGTAACCGCGGAAATGGTAAGAGAGACGGGCAGCTTTTTAGCGTGGCCCTTCACTGAACTGAAACTCAATAGATGTTTTTTTCAGAGTGCATTTCAGGTCTTTAGGAGTTGCTGCACAATCTCCTCACAGCTGTCAGGCTAGCTGGCAGGTACTCATTCTTTTTTATTGTAGGTCCATTCTCCAACTTCTATTTTTTTTATGCTTTAGTTCAGTCTGTTTTAGGGCAGATTTAAATCCTGGGCTGTCAAAGTCATACAACTACACATAATCTCTGCACCACAAAGCACACCGAGGGTGTTTACTCCGAAATCTGCGAGGACCAACCCAAGCAGGAAAAGGGGCTCGAGAACCATGCATGGGGGCTGGGGCAACTGTCACTCCAGTGGGGCCGGGGGTGTGCATGTTCAAAGGAACTACACACGCTGACTTTCCAAAAGCAAAGGAGGAAGGGACTTTGTACGAATAAAAAGGAAGGCACTGTATGCATGAGGGGCCTGAGGTCAGGTTTCCAGTGGTTGCCCGTCCTCCTGCCAACACACACACCACCCGCCCTCTCACTCACCTTCAAGTCCTGCTCCAGGCTCCTGATGAGCTCGCCGTCCACCTGCCCGGTCTCTGCTACCTTCAGGCTCTTCTGCTCGGCCTTCCGGAGGCGGTACTGCAGGATACGGCAGTTTTTGTTGGCGCGGTCCAGCTCCCGCCGAAGTTCCTGCAGCTGGTACACGTCTTCTTCCAGGTAGCTGTCCCTCATCTCCTCCATCTCAGCACGGAGCTCGTCCAGCTCATCCTACGGAACCACGGTGCAGATGAACAAGCCAAGCCCGTGAGGAAGGCCAGCGACCGCGTCCGCGTCCACGGTCCTCCCTCCCTTCCTCTGCAGTGCTCAGCACCCCACACCCGCACCCACCATCCGCTCAGGGAAACGCTGTCCCACACAGGAAGGGACCACACGCAACAGTCTCACTTACCAAGTGTCTGTTCAAGTCTCCTAGTCCCAGACACTAAAACCCAGCTTGGATTGTTCAGTGTGGCCTCATACAGCACAGTATTTCCTCACATAATTATAAACAGAACCAGCTCTACTGATAACTAAACCTTCAGATTCCAACCTAACATTGACCTGAATCTCTACCTCTAAGGCACAATTTAAGGATCGGGATGAATCAAACGCATGCTGGCTTGAAAGAACATAAACTTTAGCGACGAAATAACTGTTAATCACCCTAAGACCACAGCATACCTGCAAATGTCTCTGCAACCCCGTTCCACAATACAAACCTTAAGTGACACTAGCGAGGGATGAGACATTTTTCCATTCAGACACACACTGGGCTTTTCCCACTCACCCATCCCTTACTTCTTCCAACACTGATCCTCTTTCTCATCTACACGCAGGCCCTGAATACAGGGCGCAGCTGAGCATTACAGGTGCCCTCGGTCAGTCTAGGTCCCTGCCCTGGGCCCCCACACACCAGACTACAACTGTGGATGGAGTGGCTCGGGGTAGTGGTTCCCATCACCAAACCCAGCTACGCTGTCAGCTGACTTCCAGGGGATCAGGAGCAGGTAGGAGCAAAGCTTCCTGGACAGGCCCGGCTGGACAGCAGGTTGTGAGGCTCCGGCTGTGCTGGTCCCTGGAGGAGGGGCCTGAAGTAACCCCGAGTTAACTCTCGGTTATTTTCCTCTGCTCCGCCTCCCTGACCGCCTTTCAGGAAAGTAACTTTGAAACCACAGTCAGGCTTTGTTCTGGTTCTGTTCCTCAGCCCTCCTCCCTCCATAAAACCAGCCTCCTCTGTCAGCCCATAGGAACAGGCTCTGATTGCAGGCAATGGAGCACTGCCTCGTTGTGGAATCACAAAGCCAATTAAAATCTCTAAACCAGCCAGTTGTACTTCTGACTCCTGACAGAGAGAACCCCGGCCTGGGTCCAGGCCTCCCCGGGCCTCCAGTCCTCCCCCACCCACATCCTCCACCACCCACCGTCATCCACCTCGCAGTCAGCCTTTCTTACGCACATCAGCCATCAGATGCTCCACCCCTGCCACACCTCGGGACTTCCTCTCCGTCCTCTAGTCACTGGCTCTCACAGCCTCCAGCACCACCTGCCAGTCCCTGCCCAGGATGGGGGAGCCCAGGCAGAAGTGGAAGTCACAGGCGAAGCCGCCCCTCGCACCCTCTCCAGCCCATGCCTAGTGCCTGCCTTCTCTATTTTCTTCCCACCTCTCCTCAGCCACTACTGCTGGTCATCTTCCCTGATTCACTGCCCATCACAGTCAGCCCCAAGGAATTGAGCTGCGCCTGCCCGCCCCGCTGCATCCATAGCACAAAAGCCAGCCCAGGAGACAAAGCACAAAGCTGACCGAAGCTGGACCTGACCGCGCCATAGCTCTGCCCCATCCTGCAGCCCAAGTGTGCAAACTTCCCACTCGTGGAGTGCAGCAGTGGTTCACGGTCACACATTCCCCGATGTCTCAGATTTCAGTAAGGAGCACTGTGGAAGGAAGACTAGGGAGAACATTCTAGAAACCGTGTGGATTTCCTCCGATGCGGCCAGTCCCGGCCTCTTGTTAGTCAGTGGTGAGGCTGGAGGAGAAAGCTCGCTCCCGAACATGGCCGAACTTGTCAGCCCCCGCCCGGCTGTTCAGCCTGCTCCTGGAGTCTCGCCGCTCTCACCCGCCCTGCACTAGTTCTTAACCACGATTTCTTTGCTATGAAGACCAAGAGTCTCCCAACCTGACAGCCCTGCACAGAGAGGACGCTGCATGCAAGAAATCTGAGCAGGAGCTTATCCTGAATAAGATCCAAGGACACGAACAACTTGTGGGAAAATGACTGGCATACAAGTGGGGGCAGGTGCTGCTCACCCAGGGGAGAGGTCCTGTGCCTGCCCAGCTCCACTGGAGGTGCTCGGGACTCCCCAGGAGAACACAGGTGACAGCAGAAAGCCTCACGACTTCCAGGTGTCAAGCAAGTAACTGCTCTTCTTAGCTTCTCAATGTTCTTAAGGAATTTCCAGACAATGATGAAAATGTCATTAAAAATGTAAGTTGTTCTCAACGTCAGCTGTCCTCACCGTAGCAGGGGCAATGTTATGAAGAGTTGGCAAATTTCATTTGTCACTTCCCTCCTGGAGATCTCTCCCTACACATCTTGTTCCTGGCAGGAGAATCCGCTGGGACTGGCACTGACTGGACGACAGAGCCACAGCTGGCCAGCTCCGGAGGGGCAGGAGGATGGCTCATGCGGCAAAGTGCTGGCCACCCCTTGGGCAGGAAGAGGCCGCCACACTGCCCAGCGGCTGCACCGCGCTGTGAAGATGGCTGTGACCCCAAGCACCCCACGCTGGTGGACTCCCAGGGCGGCTGGAAGCTTTAAAATGGGCCTTATGGCTTTCTGCTCATCTTTCCATGAAGAGCAGAAAGTGAGCCCTGAATCTTAAAAAATCAAAATCTAGTTTCACTCCTGTCCCATCTACGAATCTGAGGAAGCCTGAGCGCAATGCTTGTGTCTGAGTACAGTAACGATCTCACTGAGTGGCTAATAAAAAAATCACTCCATGCAAGCAATAATCACTGTGTGTGTATCACTAAGTCAAGACACACATATAAATCACAGGGGCTTTGGCTCTTCTGATTGCAGGAGGAATCGTGCGATTGCTTTTCCTTTCTAGAAAGTGTGTCTGTAAAAGCCAGACTGATGCATGCCTAAAATCACCTGTCACTCAAACCAAACTTCTTAAAATGTAATTCAGCCACAGGGAGGTGCAAAACGGTGCTTTCAGATAGAGAGATATTCTCTAGTTTTCAGATTCTGCAGCAGGGAGACCCTCATACATATACAGATGTGTAAGCAGGCTGGGAAAACCTGCTAAGGGCTGGATGTGTTCATACCTCCCATTCACTGAGCAGGCCGGATGTAAATAGCTGAGATTTTTCTGGCACAAAGAACCACCAACATCAGTTGTACCGAAAAGAAAATTAGGGAGAGACCATAATTGTATGCATCTGAATCACTGCTTTCATAACTCATACTTTAACGTTAAAAGAGAAGACACCTTTCATCAAGCCCTTTGCTCTCACTGGTAACCCACGATAACCCTGGCAGGAGCACACGGCCCACATTTTAGAGACAGGGCACAAACTGAGGCTAGTTACCGTGGCCCGGCCTCAGAGAGTGGGTGGAAGCCAGGCTGCACAGGCACGCAGCCTGCTCCCAAGGGCACGCAGGCGGGCACTGTCCAGTGAGAGCAAAGTACTCACCCCACCGGCACAGAGCAAACAGACCTGCCCTGTACCTCTAAAAGCAGCACCAGGGTAACTCATCCTAGGAGCGGCCGCGCTTACAGCCTGACAGCGCTCAGCACGCAAGCTGTCCGCGGGGCCTCGGGCCGCACGGTGGTAAGAGGCCCCTTCTGAAGAAGGAAGGCAGATGCTCAGGGGCCTGCCCACCCTGTCTGTGGCAGACAGGACTGAAGCCAATGTTTCAGCTCTGTAGCATCTAGAAAAAGCAATTCTCAGGTTCCAGCAAAGGAAGTTACAAGAGAAGCAAATGAGGACCCGTGCTGAGTTGGCCGAGCTGCTGGCAAACAAAAGCAACTGTGATTAGTCAGATGAGGGTCAGGACGGACAGTGATTCTCCAGTGAATGTGCTGTTAATTTCCAGGGAACAGGCTCTCCAGAACCCCAAGAGGCCCAGCACTCAGATGGTTAAGAAAACCAAGTCAGACAGAACTCGCAGTGCTTCTGGCAGATATGAGGCGAAGACAGCAAAGAAAAGTGGGAATTGGTGTTGTCTTTTACACAAGAAAATTAGTAAAGGAAAAACTCCTGAATCTACAATTTTATAATGAACTAATACCAGATCTGCCAGATATCTAAACAGTAGATCACCATCTTATTAATAAACTGATCTAGTTTTCATTATATTTTTCCAATATTTTACATAAAATGGATTTTTGAAGTACTATAAAACTGTCCAACTGTTCCCTTCTGCCTACAAATAATAAAGCAAGCTCTATTATCAACATTATATTATGTATTGTATACTTAGCTATATTTCAAATGTATATTTTATTTGTATACTTATACATAAAAATACACTACATATATGTGTAGGAGGAATAACAAGGTACTGTCCCATGTGTGCAACTGAATAAACCAAGATGAAAATGAAATGGTTCAGTAAAAACCTCTAGAACAGCATTATACATAAATATCAAATAAAAACCGAATCCCTGATTTCTTAGTAAGTATCAAAAACTCTCACTCATTCTGGTGACTGTATTTAAACCTTAATCTCTTACAAACAACCCCAAATCAGTACCTACTCCTATTTTAACAGCTCCTCTTGAAGAGCCCTCCTTGGACAGCAGGAGCTGCCTGTCCTCTCACTGCTGTTGCTATAATCCCATCTCCCGGGAGTTGCGGGCAGAGCGACTGTCTTTCGTGATGTGCAAATAGTCCGCCTCACGTCCACGGCCCCCTGGACAATGGAAACGTTCTCCATGAGTCCCAGCTGTAGCCAAAGAGACGCAGGGCTGTGACCATTGTTTACCCAGTCAGGCGCAGCCGGCCGCTGATGGTTCTTGGCCCTGGTCAGCATCATCCAGCTACCACGACGACCACGGCCATGGCCACTACCATGACAATGGCGACCCCAGCCAAGCTTTCATAGGCTAAGGAAAGCAGGAGGCCAGGAAAGAAGAGGGGATCCATCCACACTGAGCCTCCCCAGAGGGAAAGGGAGGAGGGGAACAGAAGAAACGCCTCCGCTGCCCCGAAGAGTCTGCCTCTTCCTGGCACCAAAGGTCGTGGAGCCTGACACTGAAGACACCCCCAGGGAGGAGCAGGACGGCAAGGTGGAGCAGTGAGGAGCCTGTGACCTCCAACCCAGACCCGAGGGCTAGGTGTGGAGCTGTGTGCTCGGCTCCGAGGTCCTGGGCTTCATCCTCGGCACTAGCTGCCCCCCAAACCTCTGTGATCTCTTTTAGGAAATTGAACCCCCAAGAAGCCAAAGTACTCTGCCTGGTAGGCAGTGCCAACTTGTTTTCTTTTCACCCAAATAGTTATTCTGAAATGACTGAGCAGTGGAGCCAAGAGAACGCCCTTCCCACCCCAGCCCGGCCCTCCGTGGCACAGGACGGGGTCGCGGTCTGGGACGGGCCCTGCACGCACCGCTGAGGCCTTGAGGGCACTCTCAAGACAGCCCGGTAAACTCCAACCGACTGCATCCTCCTGAAGAGCCACGGACACAGAGGACGCTGCCCACATAATCAGTAAGTGGACAGCGTGTGCCGGGCTTATCTGATTGTCCTGGGGCCCTGGAGCTAAGCAGTTTCGGCAGCCCAGCAGGCAGGAGGTTCGCCAGTGCCTGCAAGTGGGTCCCTAGCACAAGAACGGAGCCTCTGTGAGAAAGAGGCAGAGATCACTGAACTCAGCTGCTCGCCTTCATTTCTGAGCTATCCCTGCTACCTTCAGGTTCTGGGTTCATGCAGAAGCCGGCCACCCAGACACAGGCTCTGTGTATTTTTCACCCAGTGTCCCCAGGGCGCTCTGGTGAAGGGATGGAAATGAGGAGCAGAGACACCTGCCCTCCCCCCGCAGCACTAGAGAAACTACGCCAAACACACAGAGCGCTCCACGTCCGTTTCCCGATCAGTGAGGCAACCTCTTCCTATTACACTGGCCTGATTTTTCCATGTGTGCTCCAGAACCATGACAGTCTTGCCCCATGATGACGACCACAGTGGCCCAGGAAAGAATGTGCAACTCTCCAGAACACATCCAAGCAAAACTTCCAGGCCGGCTTCTTCTGGTTAGATAACATCTGAACAGATGGAAGCTATATCTAATCTCGAGAGTTCTGTGCAGCATTCCCCAAGAAAGTAGTAGGTCAAGGATACACTTTTATCTCCATCTAAAAAAAGCACCCTGAGTACATCAGCAGCAAAAAGAGAAGTGTGAGTGTGGGTTTGTTATGTGCACACCCTAAGCACCGTGCACCAAAAGGCAGGGCTCCCGCCCCTGCTCTGCTCCCCAAGGGCCCTGGCGCCCGGAGCCCAATTTTGCACAAGGAAGCAGCTCACAGCCAGCAGAAGTTCATGAGGATTCTCGTACTTCTCTCCCAAAACGTGCTACTGGAACTTATGCACTTGAAAGGCCAAGCATGTACATAATGCACTTCCACATGCATGCTCCGGTTCCCGAGCCTCCGCCCACCTCGCCCGGGCTGTGCGAGAAAAAGCCAGGCCACAGGCTCGGCGGGCTTAGTAAGCAGATGGCATGACACCTTCCCCCAGGAAACGGCAGCTGAACGCCTCCTGCAGATGACACCAGGCTTGGTCTGCAGGGCCCTCAGTTCACAGGCTGGTGAAGCGGGTTCACTGAGGCCCTTTCGCCTCCAAAGAAAACAGAGCCCCTAGAAAGCTCAACACGGGGCCCACCCTGAGCTAATGAAACACCTCTAGAGCAGGCCGAGGACCCAGCCTTGCTGGAAGTGGGGCAGCTGGGTCGTGAAGCCCAAAGGGTGCAGCCACACAGGCAGCACAAACAGAAGTGATGCTCCTCAGTGGCAGAGTGACCTTGGGCAAGTCCCTGAAGTTCCAAGTTCTCAGCACCCTTGTCTGTGGAGCTGGAGTTGTGATAAATGTAACAAGAGGCCGGGGGTGGAGCAAGGCAGCGCTGGCTCTTTGAGGCCCTGGGCTCCAGCCCCAGTGCTGCAGCACAAGCAGAAAACACCCTGCAGGCTCCGGGATGGGAACCCACTCCCTTCACCGACCCTAACTGTGGGAAAGGATAATGCAAGCAGCTAGGACTCAGGAATAAACTTTGAAACGATGTCACACTGCCTCCTCTAAGATCAAAGAGGTAGTAAGAAACACTTTAAAGCAACTGCTTTCTGCTGCTCACCCTTCTTCATTTGGATACACATAGAGTGGACTACAAAACTTAGGCTGTTTCTCACTCTCAGGGAGCTGACATTTGTTAGAAACTTACAAAATGCATTTGCAGAAGGCAGCCACAGATAACATAGTTGCTTTTCTCCCAGCACCTCTGAGCTCCACTCTGCTGCGGCTTATGTAAGAGCAAGTGCAAAAGCAAACCAACGCGCTGTTTGAAATGCTTCCGTCAAGTTCTGGTCTGGTCCCCCGTTTCTCTCCTCTCCCTGCCTAGTTCCACAAGCAAGGCAAGGTAAGCACTGGGCTCAGCTGGTGAGAGGAACTCTGGCTAAGAGATCTGGTTTTAGGAGAACCCACAGTGGCCCACCTCACCACCACCCTCTTGAAAGCCCAAGCCTCAGTCCCACCATCAGAAAGTGGATCCCAGTCGGGTAGGTGCAGTTCAAGCACGGAGCCCACCGTGAAGCACGGGTGTTCACTGAGACCCTAACCGTACAGAAGTATATCTCCACCCCTAGTGTTCCGCACAAACCTGAGGGTTACTGTAAGCACTTGCTCCGCTGCGGCCCCCTCCTCTCCCCAGTCTCATCAGCTGCCCTGACCCCAACCTAGTCCAAAGCTGTGTGCTGCGGCCCAGCCCTCCTCCTCCACGGAGAGAGTTGGAACCCGATGAAGCAGGGCTCACTAGCAAGCCTAAGAGGCCCCGCCAGCAGGCTGCCGGAGGATGCTGAGAGTGCGGCAGAACCTGTGATTCCTCGGAAAGAGCTGGCCTGGCCTCTCTGGAGCCAGGGCCGCCAGGGCCGTCTTGACCCCAGGCCACGCTCAGGGAGCTTTCAGAAGGAACAGCGACCAGGCCCCGTCTGTGTGTGTGAGGGTTAGAGAAGGCACCGAGGGCCCCTGGCGGTTTCGGCAATTGCAGGAAGAAGACAGGCCAGTCTGCAGCCTGGGCCACCGCACTGGCCCCAGCTAACACGCATGTGCACGCGCCCGGCCAGAGCTGGGCAGTAGGGTCAACCCCGTCCAACAGGTGATGTATGGGCGAGGGTCAACTCATGTACCCAAAACGATCAGAGCCACCTGTCCCCAAACTCGCTGACAAAAGGAAAAAGCATCAGCGAACACGAGCAAGATTTCTGAAAACGAGGACAGCTGAGTGAGGACCATGCAGCTCCAACTGCACCCTCCAGAAGTTTCAGCTTAAGTTCCCAGGATCTAGCGGACACGAGGCAGGTGGCTGGGGACCCCGGGACCCCCACACCCGCTCACCTTGAGGTAGTCGTTCTCCGAGCGCAGCTCCTCCATCTCCCGCAGCAGCTCCTCCTGCTCCAAACCCGGCCCAAGCGGCGGCTGCTCGCCCGGGCCCGGCTCCTGCGGGGTTCCCAGGACCGATCGCTCCGGCGGAGCGCGCCCCCCG